ATATCGCGAAGCCTGTTACGCGAGACGTGGTCTGGCGTACATATAGCTAGTATATCTGGTGTGGTGTGCACAACAAACCATCTTTTTATGCTCTTCATTTTGTGATACTCTGTTACATACATTTTAGACGGTTTTAGTTAACTTGAAGATAAGTTATCCTGCTTGCCTGCTGGTTAATATTACAACCAGCGTTCTGTTTGGTGGCGCGCCTTAAATCTTCGTTTTCCCCGGTAAGCGTCAACGTTCAGTAGTACACCTAACATCAACTCTGGCCTGTGCTTGCTGTGTACGTTGCTGTCATCGTGAGCATTCTTCGAACTGTACAGGTGTACTGTTCCTACGTGGATGTTGTAGGATTTTGAACGAACCCCCCGCGAAAGAAGGCTATCACACCTCTGATTTCAGGACCGGAGCGTAAGTCGCAAAGCTTTTCCGAAAAAGTGTTCCGCCATCTTTCGATATGTTGTTCCCAAGGTCCTAAAACGCATTTTTGAATGGTTAGTTTTTGGTCCATTCTTCGATGGTGCCTCGGGTAGCCCGTAGGGATCTGAGCCGTTTTCAGAGCGCTGCAGCGTCGTAGTCTTGCTGGTAAAAAATCCGGCGACCTCGGTGGTGGTAGGTAGGCCGTCTGGGAACACCTTGGAAAAATATCGGATTTTATACCAGCAGGGATGGAAATGTCCCGCCCTCTAAGTCAGCTCAGAGCGTAAGTGGCAAAGCTTTTCCGAAGAAGTGTCCCGCCACCTTTCGATATGTTGTGCCCCAGGTCATAAAACGCGTTTTTTGGTTGTCGATTTTGAGTCCTTTTTTCGAAAGATTTTGACTAAGTTTTTTTTTCTGGCCAACTTTCGGCAGGTCAGCTTTGCTGGCCAAAGCTGCGGCTGTTTCGAAACGTCTTTTAAATGTGGAGCGAAGTGACCCTGCAACTTTGATCGGTGAAACAGTGGCACTGTTTGTTCACTTTCGTCCCTGTTGGATATGTGACCCCTTGTAGAACGGTCCACAAACGGATCAAAATCCTGCACCGTTTCTTAAAACTGACCAACTTTTTTATTGAAAAAAAAATTCTCATGATTACAGCTGTTTGTTACGCCTTTAACTTGATCAGGACCTGAAGGAACTGGAACCACGTACGCGCTGCTTTCCGCAAAGTAGGTCTGTTGACGCTCACCATACCCGGCGCCGATAGGTTCATCGTCGGGGCGCTCATCAGCAACCAGCGACAGCGTCGGGTCGCCGGGCCCTCCTCGAGCCACGGACCCTGCCGATCACACATCCACACATTATTTCCCCTACGGCGACGGCGGCGTGCGTGGTGATGTTTAGAGTTGTATGTGGTATAGTTTTCGTATCCGACATTGAAACATTTAAGCGGACTGTTCGGATCAACTCGGAATATGTTATTGCATATCGGCTGCTAGTTGCTTTGCTACAACGACGTGAGTCTCATCGAGTCGCCCAAGCCCCGCGCCGCGCCGCCCGGCCGAGCCGAGTGGGCCTCGTTCCTCGCGTCCCCTGACTCAGGTGTACGCTCTGGCCAAGTGGTCACCGTGATGGACTTCTATTCAGATGGTCTCGGGTTCGATGCGCGACCAGGCACTGCTTTTGACTGCCGAGATGAGTTCGTCGCTATCTCGTCCCCAGCTCGTCGCAAAAGTGTACACTTTCTCGACGAGCAGGAGACGAGAAAAGGCGAAAAGAGACGAAACTGACGGATTCTGTGGTCTTGTTCTCGTCTTTCCCCCGCCTTTCCCTCGTCTCTTCCAAAAGACGATAAAAAAGACGAAATTGAGCTACACCGCTCTACACGGGAAGCTGTCAGAGTGTATGTAACTTAGTGTCGTTATTTAAAATAAATCAACTTCAGGGCCGTTGCGGCACCACTGACACGTGTCCGATCGGTCTCTAAAAAAAAAAAAGATTCCTTTTTAATCGAAAGAAACAAAGTCTGAAGCTAAGACCTTTAAAATTCTTAAAAAAAACGTTAACGCTAACGTGAGAGCAGATGACTTTTGGCGATTGGCGTTGAGCTTTTACTCTGAACTCGGCGGGGCTTAGCGGTCCACGGCAAGCGAGGCGTGGTAAGCATGGCGCAGCGCGGCATGCATGGTGCGCAGCGGTCAGCGTGGCGCGGCGCGGTGAGCTTGGCGCATGGCGCGTCGAGCGTGGCGCGCCGGTCATGGCGCGGCGCGGTGAGCATGAGCATGGCGCAGCGCGGCGGGCATGGCGTGTCAAGCGTGGGGCGGTGAGCGTTGCGCGGTGAGCATGGCGCGGCGCGGCGTGCATGGTGCGCAGCGGTGAGCGCGGCGCGGTGAGCATGGCGCAGCGCGGCGAGCGTTGCGCGCCGGTCATGGCGTGGCGCGGCGGGCATGGCGTGGCAAGCGTGGGGCGGTGAGCATGGCGCGGCGCGGCGTGCATGATGCGCAGCGGTGAGCGCGGCGCGGTGAGCATGGCGCAGCGCGGCGAGCGTGGCGCGCCGGTCATGGCGCGGCGCGGTGAGCATGGCGCAGCGCGGCGGGCATGGCGTGGCAAGCGTGGGGCGCTTTGCTTTGCTTTGTGAAATGGTTTATGGACAAGGGTCAGACACGCTACGCTAATTATGAGTGAGCTAGCAATCAACGCTCGAAATAATGCAAGAACTACCTGACAGGTGCCTTAAACTTGACACTGAAGTCGAAATTGTCGTACGAACTTCATCTTTGTTTTAAAGAGCAGCGCGAAAGAGCGATAGACACCAACCTGTGCCTACTATGCAACTCCGACCGATATCTTAACCACTTTTAAAGACACTGGGCGTCCATCACGTAGTATAATGGCCTTATTGTCATATAGCGTTAGCGGAGAATCGACAAGGTCATAAAACCTAACCCTAGCGCGGCGCGGTGCGGCCCAGCGTCATAAAACTGAACCCCAGCGCGGCGCGGCGCGGTGTGGCACAGCGCGGCGCGGCGGCGCTGCGTTGTCAGGGCGCGGCGCGACGCGGGGCATGGGGGCCGTCGCCTCGGGGCGCGGTGCAGTACAGCACCGACGGAGCGAGCAGAGCACGGCTTTTCCCGCGGGGGCGGCTCAGCACCTCTAAGCACATTACCTCTAAAGATTTTTACCTCTAAGCAAATTACCTCTAAGGATATTTACCTCTAAAGCAAAGTACCTCTAATGGATTTTACCTCTAAACAAAGTACCTCTAATGAATTTTACCTCAGAAAGCTTATTTTACATGGAAATAAAATACATGTTACAGTGGTAATAACAACAGTATACCAGGTGGCTGATTCACGCCGCGCACTTTCATAGTTATACTGTACCACATGCACGGACGCGAGCGGGTTTGCCTATGCTCGCTGCCCACGGCTCCTTATGGCCCCGTGCGAGTAGGCAACCCATACACACACGCATGCATGCGGTACAGTGTAACTACGACAGTGCGCGGCGTGAATCAGCCACCTGGTATAGTGACTTAAGTCACAACATCCGGCCATTCCGAAAAAAACGCTACCACTGAGGGGATCCCCTCGAGGAGAAGTCGCCAGCTAAGAGTTTCACTGTACAAAAGTAAAAGAACTCTGTCCCATTCCCAAATACCTTCCTCGCTTCTGCTCATATGAGGGCCCTTCGCTTGTGGCCCCTTTACGGCCGGCGGGAGTAGGCAAACATGGAGGCGCTCATGGGGGTAGGCGTACTGCGTATACCTTTATTACGAAATGTAAACATATGGTGGCTATGCCGTTAGGCATCAAA